GACAGCTTCCAGGAACAGCCGTGGCAACTAATCAAAAGGAGTGAATCACATGAACTTTTGGAAGAGGATTAAACATTCTGCCAATTTAACAGGAAATGCTGACATCAGCAAGATAATGGAGAACCCTGAGAGCCAATGTGACAAGGACATGACGTAAGAAGGTTCATGAGATGGGTAAGGGCATTTGAGATTAGTCACAGCACGAGAAAATGAAGTGCCCCAGACTTTCCAGCTTATAAACGAAACGAATTTGTCAAAGTTCTCTCCAAATCTGACAGCAGTCTTAGCTAGATAGGAGTTATGAGTAATGAGTGCCCAAGCGAGGACTTTGGTGACCTAGCAGCCATGAAGGTTTGAAGCCATGAAAGGTTGTTTTCAATCAACCTTGTTAGAGACGCTAAGTTCTTCTCTTTTCTCCCTGGAAAATAATATTGAAAAATTGTTATAAGAAGAGACAATAAGGGGCATTGGGTGGCTCAGTGGGTTAAAGCCTCTGCCTTCAGCTCGGGTCATGGTCTCAGGATCCTGGGATCGAGCCCCACATCAGGCTCTCTGCTCATCAGGGAGTCTGCTTCCTCCTCTCTCTCTGCCTGTTTCTCTGCCTACTTGTGATCTCCGTCTGTCAAATAAATAAATAAAATCTTAAAAAAAAAAAGAAGAGACAATAAAAACATGTAGATGAAAAATTTATTCTAGTGGTGTACCGTGCAGCTATGAATAAAAATTATGGTATTTTCTGGATTTTGTGATGTTTCTGGTATTGGTCAGTTTTTAAGAATATTATGATTTCCTTTCTCCTTTTGAATACATTTGTATCTAATTCTATGATGACTTGCATTCTTTCTTAAAGAGAGAGGCTGTGGGTTGCCAAGATGGGATGCTGCGTCACCCACACTGCCAAGATAGGCCTGGCGACTTCGGGAGATGGAACTGTGAACCCAGCAGCATCTCTGTGGCCTCAGGGCCTACAGGCTCTTGAACAGGACGCAAAGGCCCTCCCTAACAAGGAAAGGCTGATCAGTTGGATGAGATGAAGGCTTAAGAAGGCCTGTTCACGCAGAGCCACAGGAGAGTGACAGGACTGTCCTGGTGTGGAGGAGGCGGTGCTGACCCAGGAAACTTCAGTATTCACGGATCTTGGAATCGTGAATTCATCTGCTCGCTAAATCCTTTGTAAGCCCACAGTGTCCATGGTCATTCGGGGATGTGGCCAGAGCAGTGAGGATAGAGCGGGACCCGATGTCCCCGGCGGAGACAGGAGGAGGCAGCACCCTACCTTCTCGGTTCGGCTCGTCCTGGAAACCAGTGTCCTGTCTGTTGTCTGTTTAGTACCCCATGTCCCGCATTTTCGTGCTTTTGGCAGTGACTCCGTGGCTGAAAATGCGCCCCCCAACCCCCACGTGGTGCTGGAGTCCTACCCAGGGCTCTACATGCCAGAGGCTGCGATGGGCCCACGGAGGAAACCGTGGGTGGAGCGGGTTTTGTTCAGGCTTGAGACGTGGCAATGCTGGCCACTGGTTCCTTGATGAACCAACAGCAGAGTCAGTAAGGGGACTTCAGACAGAAGCCACATGACACACAGTTCTGTTGTGACCAGTGGCTTCCAGGAAGCTGACCCTGTCTTCCCCCCCCCAGGAGCCCAGGCTGTGTGTTCATGGCTCCAGAGTGCAGCAGCCGTGGACAGCAAGAATGGACTGTTGTTGACAAAACAATCATCTCTAGAGCTTGAAAACTACAAATCAATAAAGACAAGATGCTCACTAGAAAAATGATGGAGTCACAAACAAATGGGGCCTTACAAGCTGAGCTGCGGGTGGCAGGTGGATCTGCGATAAGGGTTTGGTGACTGCCTTGCCCCCAAGGGACAGAAGTGGAAACCACACCACAGCCTCCCAGAAAGGCTGCAACTCTGAGACCATTAGTTGTCACACGAGTGCACGGAGAGAAATTTCCTACATTGCCAGTGGACATACACATTTTTATTTTTGTGTGTGGGTCTATTTTTCTTTAAGATTATCTTCTAGAGGTGGTCACAGCATGTCCTATGGCCCAGCAAGTTTTCTCCAGTGGACGTGTGCACACACGGACCAGAGCTCCTGGAAGCGTGTTTCCTAACAACCGAAGTCTGGCTCCAACACACAAGCATGTCCACAGCAGAGAGAAGCCGTGGTGCAGCTGCTAATGTGCACTGAGCGTACTCCAGGAGCAAAGGGACCCACCCACGGCACTCAGAGCAGAGCACGGGCGTCAGAGGCCCCCAGCGAACAATGCCCAGCTGGCCGGTTTCCGTGTGAGTCTGCCAGGCTCCCTGTAACCGAGTACCATGAGCCAAGGGACTTGGACAACAGGAGAGTATTCTGTCACTGATTCATGTATTGAAACTCTACCCCTGTGGATGGCGTTTGGAGGTGGGGCCTTTGGGGGTCAAGAGCACGGGATGGGGTTAGTGCCCTTGTGAAAAGGGACACCAGATAGCTTGTTCTCTCTGTCTCTCTGCTGCCGTGTGAGGAGTCAAGTGAGAAGGCCCATCTGCAAATGAAAATGAGTCCCCCACCAGAACATGACTGAGAGCCACCCTGACCTCAGACTTGCGGCCTCCAGAACTTTGAGAAGTATACATTGTTCAAGGCCCACAGCCTGTGGCTGGCTTGTGTTGTGTTGGGGCGCCTGAGCTTACTGAGACTTCAAGGGGAGAGAAGGGGAGGGGCACGGCCTGTAGACCCAAAGCTTTCTGTGGGAGCATGGGCATGAAGTGGGCCACCCAGATCCTCGAGCAGCGCCATGCTCCAGGCATAGATGTTTTCAGCCGTCAGCTAGAAGCTGCTAGCTATTCTGGTAGGGGTCCCGAGAAGTTCGTGGAAGGTTTGACAGCAGTGTGTCTGCCATTTCTGTTGGCACACTGCATCAGAGAGCAGAGTTAGGTTTCTGCAGAAATGGACATGCGGTAACCCTTCTCCAAGTGTTTCCCCTGCTCCCCACTTTCTCACACATGGAGAGATATGTCCTTGGTTCTGTTTCCTAAGAAGTCAGCTATAGTTTGTATGGTGCCAAGTGGTCTTCCATAGAAACCTGCCCCTTCTCAGGCACCATGGCTAGATTATAACCCTCCCAGGGCCAGCAGGCACATTGGTCCTGGGGCCTGGTCCTCACCTGTGACTTGTGGCCTGGCTGAGGGCAGGTTCAGGTAGCTGGGTGGGTTGAAGCCAGAATGAGGGTGCTGAGAAGACAAGGAGAAAGGAGTGGCCCCAGGGCCTTTGCACTCTCTCTGTTTCCCCATGCTTGGATGTTTTCCTGCTGCCCACAGCCCAGCTCCTCCTGGACACTCAGGCCTGGCTCCCTCCATCCATGCCTGGTACTAAGACATTAAGTGGCTTGCTTCTTTATTTTTCAGTTTGTTATCTGTCAACCCCAGAACTCAGTTCCAGGAGGGCAGACATGCCAGCCAAATCAATGCTCTGGGTGCGCAGTGAGTGGTTTCCAGACAGTGAAGAACCGTCCTGGGAATGAGGGTGAGAGTCCTTCCGCCTTCTCAGGACCCTGTCTCCCGCAGAGACAGCTTGTCTCTCTCCCTCTGCTGTCCACACCTGGAATCCCCCTCAGCAAAATAAGGCACTGCAACTGTCTCTCACTCCACAGGCCCTCCCAGCAGGCCCAACACACTTCCAGGGCATTGCCTTCCTGGCCTTTTGGTCATCGCCCCCCACCCCTACTCTGGACATTATTCTCCCCTGGTTGCATTCCCCCACCCGGTTTTTCTCCTCTGGGACCCTGGGACTCTAACCTTTCCACCCCTACAGGAGCCAACCTCTCCCTGCAGCCCTGCTTGTCCCTTCTGGGTCCCCCAAGAACACCCTTGGCCCATGATGCCCATTTTGGCCACATGCACGGCAATTTGCGCTCAGCCCACAGAAGGAGGGACCCTGGAGTGATTTCTGGCAGGCAACAGGGTCAGGGTGACCTTTGTGGGCACGTCCCCCACACGTCCCCAGCACCGCCTGGACAAAACAAAGCTGTGTGAGCTGTGGTTGTCCCTTCCTGAAGCCAGACATCTCTGCAGGGCTGGCTGGCAGAACTCACTGCCTTCCCCAGGAGTGGGTGGTGGTGGGTTTTCCTAGCGGGGGGATGGGAGGACGGTGTCGAGGAGGTGGGGAACGACGTTGGACCGGCCAGGCCCTGATGGGAACACTAGGCCATGACCTGGAGGGAGGGATGCTGGCCCCTCCAGCTTCCCAAGAGAGAGCTGATGGGAGGGAGCACCATCAGTTAACAGGCGGGGCAGCAACGTTGGCGTGGGGAGGGGGAAATGCAGGTCCTGGCTACTGCTGAGCAAGACCCTCATGACGTCCCCATCTGTGGTGAGGACAGGGGCCGGGCCTGAGGGTACTCGGGGTAAGGCAGGGCCCACGCTTGCGAAAACACAGTGCACCCGGCTGTCACACACGACTGGTTGGGGCATGCAGGGGAGGCGGGCCTTGGTTCCCGACGCCACCCTCGGGCCCCTGGGATGTGCCTGGCGTTCGCAGGACCTCCCAATGCAACCGCGAACCACCCGCGGGATCCAGTGTCGCGTGGGAGGTGTCTGTCTGCGCAGGCGCAGGTCTGGGCGCCGCAGGTGCAAACGCCCGGTGCCAGAGTCGTCGGGAGGCTGCGTGCGGGGAACCCGGTCCCGATTCCGGGCGAAGCCAGTCGGCCGAAGGCCAGGCCCATCCCCCTGCCCTCCAGGCCTCCCCAAGCTGTCCCTCACTAGGCCGTGGCTCAGACCCCGGGTCCGCAGGCCCGCCCGCAGGTTTTCCACCTCCGGTAGGTCCCACCCCAGGCCCCGCCCCGTCGCCCCAGGCCCCGCCCCGTCGCCCCAGGCCCCGCCCCGCCACCCCAGGCCCCGCCCCAGAAGGCCCACCGCCCCAGCCCGGGCCCCGCCCCCCAGCTCCGTGGCCCCCGCCCCTGAGCATGCGCCTGCGCAGTGGCGGCGGGCGCAGTCGGAAGCCCGGCGCAGACGGCGGGGTCGGCGGGGAGGCGGCACCACCTTTCACCCGCGGCGCGGACCCGGCTCTCGCCAGCCGCCGGGGTCGGGCCGCCCGGGCAGGGATGGCAGCGGCAGCCGAGCCCCGGGCCCGTGCCTGGCTCGGCGGTAGCTCGCCGCGCCCGGGCAGCCCGGCCTCCAGCCCCGAGCTAGGCGGCAGAGGCCGTGCGCTCCCGGGACCAGGGCCGGGGCCGGGGTCGGGGTCTGGCCCGGAGCGGGCGGGCGCCAGGACCCCAGGCCCCGCCGCGTCTGGCCACAGCTTCCGGAAGGTGACGCTCACTAAGCCTACCTTCTGCCACCTCTGCTCCGACTTCATCTGGGGGTTGGCCGGCTTCCTCTGCGACGGTGAGCGCCTGCGACCCCATCACAGACCCCAGCCCCTGGCCCAGAATGGGCTCCTCCCCTCTGACCTCTGCATTCCCAGCAGTGGACTCCTCAGGACAGAGCCGCTTGCCCCCCCCCCCCCCACGCCGGGGCAGGAGTGTGCTGGCCTCAGACCCTCTCCGGGGAGGCGATAAGCGCTGGCTCTTTCAGGGGGTTGGGGGCACCAGGTGTCTTCACCCAGGACTGTGGGCCTCAGGAAAAAACTGCTCCCTGGGCTCCTTCAGTGGGCTTGGGATTCAGTGAGGGAAGAGTACTGTGGGCATTGTGGAGCAGGTGTAGTGACTGGGGGATGAGTTCAGGGTCCCCTAAGCAGGTGGGACTCCTCACTTACTCTAGGCTCCTCACTCCCCGTAGCTGGGGCAGCAAGGAGGCAGCACTGTGGTCAGGCAGGGCTGGTCGGGGTCGCTGGTAGGATCCTGTGCCCTGGTGCTGGGCCTTTTCTTGCCCTGCGTGCACACTGCTACCCACAAGGGCCAAGTGCGGCGTGCCCCAACAGGGCTGGCACCTAGCTGCCAAGCTGGCTGCCAGGGCCAGGAGGCCCTCACTCCGCTGGCTCATTGGACAGCGAGGGCACAAGCTTCACAGGTCTGCTTTCTTGTAGTCCTGCTTCCTCTGTCAGGACAGGTGGGTAGGCCCTGAGGACCACAGCTGCCCGGGCATGTGGGGACCCTTTGCTCCACTGATGGAGACAGGCTTTTGGCTCTGGGGACAGAGGGACCACTTAGACCAAAGTTTACAGAGAAGGCTTAACCAGGTCTGGATGGAGGAGGCTGGTCTCTCAGGCGGGATGCCTTCTGCCCAAGAAAATGGCATGGTTGAGCTGACTCCCTAGTACAGCACCAGGTGGTCTGGCCAGCTGGCATGGGGCAAGTCACCCCTAGATCTTCAGAAACACTGCACTGTCTTATCTTGTCCCATGCCAACTGGCTCACCTGAGGGAGGAGCAGTGCTTGTTCAGGCTGAGTCAGCTTTAGGTCTGAGGCTAGACGCAGGACCTCTGCACAGGTGAGAGGTGAGAGATGGTAAGTGCAGGGCTCCAGGTCTGAGGTTGAACCCAGGACCTCTGCACAGGTGGGGGTGGTGAAGGCAGGGCTCCAAGTCTAAGGCTAGACTCCAGGTCCTCCTCAGTGCTATGACCTCCTGCAGGTGGGGCTCTGGGTCTAAAGGGCAAAGCAGCTCATGGAAAGGGGCTGGGCTTGGGGGATGACGTGGAGGCCATCCCTGGGCAGCTGTGTGGACGTGCTCCCCACCTCTGGAGAAGGGGCTCATAATCTTGGCCGGCAGAGGGGCCTGGCAAGGGTGTGGGAGGAAGAACCTTCTTCCCTGCCAGGGAGTACCCAGGATGTGGGATGTGGGGTGATCAGGCACTATCTCCGTGGGCCAGAGGAGCTGGGCGCCACCTGCCTGCAGCTGCTGCCTTCCGGGACAGAGCTAGTCTGGGTGCCTTGGAGGGGAAGCTAGCCAAAGTGCTCACCCTTCCTCTGTGCCTCCCCACTTACTCCATCTGACCCTAGCCTACTGTAGTTTTTTCGAAAGCAAGGCCTCAGGGCTGTCCTTGCTAGCCTGTGGAGGACCTGTCTGTGTCCTCCTCCTAGGGATGGGTGTGTAGGGCTTCAGTGGGTAGGATGGAGCTGCCTCAAGGCCCCTTGCTCATACTTTTCATCAAGCGCTATGTTGGAGAGTGAGTCCTTCTGCCACCTGCCCACTTCCCAGCTTCCAGCTGCCTTGTCCAACCCATCCCACCCCAGAGGGGCCCAGCCCAGGTCCCCTGCCCCTCCCTAGGCCTCTTGCACCCCTCCCCCCAATCTTGTCTCTGGGCCTCAGTGTGGCTGGACTCTCCAGGCTTCCCTTCTTAGTGGCCTGCATCCCAGGACAGGAGGCCCTTGGAAACACAGCCTATGTTGGAGTACTCACTGCCTTTAGAACCTCTGGGCTATCTATCCCTCTGGGTGGGGGCAGGTGCGGCCATCCCTGGGCTGGCCACCCCCTACGCTGCCAGCCTCGGGAGGTCCTGGACCATCACAGACTGGCTCTGGTCTCAACAGGCACACAGCACATGGGAGGGGTGGTCAGAGGGTCTTCAGAGTTGTGGGGGAGAGGGGGAAGGATGTTCTTGGTGCTGCTGGTCTCGGGGGAGATGTCCACTTACCTGCCTGCACCTCAGAGCCAACAGATAGGAGTGGGCCCCCTTGTGCAAGGGGCAAGGGCCACTCTCAAGACCCTGGGACACTGCAGCATCCCCACTCTGGGCTCTCTGCGGATGAGAGGTGGGGTGGCACAGTGGATCAGGGTGGCCATGTGGGGGGATGCTGTGGCCATGTCCTCCCTCTGCCCCCACGATAGTGGGGATGGCAGGAGTCACTTTCCCCATCACTCACTGCTGGGTCGGAGTGGGGCGGGGGATGCAGGGATTCACCCCACGCTGACTCCCCCTCAGCTCTGGCAGAGTGGGCCCACTGTGAGAGGTGCACTGCCCCCGCAGAATGTGGGCAGCTGGCCGTGGCCCCTGGTGCTCCTGCTGGCCACGGCCTCCCTTCTGCATGCCAAAGCCTGGGGTCTCCTGATGCTTGGGTCGGACAGGGGCCAACTCATGCTGCTCTCATTCCGTAGTCTGCAACTTCATGTCCCACGAGAAGTGCCTGAAGCACGTGAAGACACCCTGTACGGGTGTGGCGCCCAGCCTGGTCCGAGTGCGTATGGTGGGAGGGGGGGGGGGGGGGGGGGGGGCTTGGGAGAGCGAGCTCTCATGGCAGGTGCTGGGCTGAGTCAGTCTGTCTGGGTGGATGGTGCAGGAGTGCTCCTATGTGCTGCCTTGGGTCTCCAGGATGCTGACCATGTCCCGAGTCCATGTGTGTGAGCCCCTCCCAGGACAGTAGCCAGGCCTCACCTCCTGCTGATTCTGATCCCTCCTCCTCTGGGGTCCCTGACATCCAGCACTCCTGCTCCTGCCTGTTGGTGGGCCTCTGCCCATGAGTGTTTCGTCCAGCTTGCCCCAGATGTATCACGGGGGCAGGGAAGAGGCCTGGAGGAAGCAGCCAGCGCCCAGGCTTCCTGGACCTGCGCAGCTGAATCAGGCCCGGGGAAGAACCAGCAGGGGGCTCCCTGCAGGAGGGGCAGCCCAGCCTGGGAGACTCGGAGGAGAGTGGGCAGTTCCAGCAGGGCCCCCAGGGGCACAGAGGGGCAGGGGAGGATTTGGGGGGGGCACCGCAGGGCTCTCTGGGCTGCAGAGGACGAGGCCTGCTGGCGCTGGCTGGGTGCTATCAGGTGGGCCCCAGGCTGAGGGGGAGCTCTGCTCCCTGCAGGTCCCTGTGGCCCACTGCTTCGGCCCGCGGGGCTTCTACAAGCGCAAGTTCTGCGCCGTGTGCCGCAAGGCCCTGGAGGCCCCCGCGCTCCGCTGTGAAGGTACTGCCCAGCCCGCCTGGCCGCCCTGCGGTCTGCGCCCTCACCAGGGTCCTGGTCTCTGCTGCCCAGGGTGCCCACACCCTGCTGTGGCCAGGCGGCTGGGCAGGAGGTGGGGTGGTGCCCTGGGCGCCCATGAGGGGGGATGTGTTTGTGGACTCAAGCTGCCCTCATGGGGAAGCAGGTGCAGGGGGCCAGAAGACGGGGAGCAATGGGTAGCCGGCTCCTGTCCCCTGAGGGGAGGGGCCCCTGCTGTGCGCTCGAGGAAGGGTCCAGGAAGTGTGGCTGGGATGTGCAGGGAACCGGCCTTGGCAGCGCTGCCCAAGAGAAGGGGGCAGGGCTGTGGGGAGAGGCAAGAGGCCCTTAACCCTGCCCGCCCCCCAGTGTGTGAGCTGCACGTTCACCCCGACTGTGTGCCCTTCGCCTGCAGCGACTGCCGCCAGTGCCACTGGGATGGGCACCGGGACCACGTGAGTGCACAGGGCCAGAGGCCTGAGCCTTGGGGGGGGGGGGGGGGGGGGGAGAGTTGGTGTTGCTGGGGGCTGGCTGAGCCAGGACGGGCCCCCTCCACAGGACACGCACCACCACCACTGGCGGGAGGGGAACCTGCCCTCTGGTGCGCGCTGTGAGGTTTGCAGGAAGACATGCGGCTCCTCGGATGTGCTGGCGGGCCTGCGCTGCGAGTGGTGCGGCGTGCAGGTGGGGCTTTGTGCTTTGCCAGCAGGTGGGGGGTGTGTGCAGGTGGGGCTTTGTGGGGGAGGGGGTGCGGCATGCAAGTGGGGCTTTGTGAGGTGGGGGTGTCCTGAGGGGCGGAATGGGATGGTGGAGTTCCTGGTGGTCAGGGAGGGGATGGGCAGTTCCTGGGGGTGGGGTGTCATAGTCCTGGGGGGTGGGGCAGAGTGGATATATTATCCCTTTGGAAAGTAGGTTGGAGGTCCCGAGAGCAGGTGCGGTGCGTCCTTCCGTGCTCACCCATCTGCATCACAGTGTGTCGGGGCTGGGGATGGTCCCCACTGTAGAGTCAGGGATCCTTCTGGTCTGAGGGTAGTGCCACCCGCCTGTGCGCCCCGCCGTGGCCTGGTCAGGGGCCATCAGCCCAGCGTGGGCCCCTGCAGAGTGGATGACAGCCGGCCCATGCTCCCATCTGCAGGCCCACTCAGTCTGCTCCGAGGCGCTTGCCCCGGAGTGCACGTTGGGGCGCTTGCGCACCATGGTCCTCCCGCCGGCGTGCGTGCGCCTGCTGTCCCGAAACTTCAGTAAGATGCACTGTTTCCGCATCTCTGAGAGCACGGCCCCAGAGCAAGGTGAGTGAGGGGCTGTGCTGGGGCTGGGTGTGTGGGCTGGGGGTTGGCCTGGGTAGGAGGTCAGCTGTGCCCCTCCAGCAGGTGAGGGGGACGATGGTGCGGACGGAAGCGCCCCCGCTGGGCTGGGCAGAGAGGTGCTGGCCCCGGAGTCCAGTGAGTGCCTCCTAAGCTATTGTGGCCCGCCACCTGGTCCCCTCATCCCTCACCCTGTCCCCCGTCCTGTCCCGAGCCCAGACCCCACTCCATGGACCCACATTCACTTCTCTCCGGCCCAGGCAAACAGACCCTGAAGATCTTTGATGGCAACGATGCTCTGCAGAGAAACCACTTTCGTGTTATCTCTGTCCCCCGCCAGGCCAGGAGTCAGGAGATGCTGGTAAGAGGGAGCCCCTGCAGGGCGCCTTCCTGGGGAGCTTTGTGGCTGGTGTCTACATCTGCCCCCCTCCGCCCCACTGCAGGAGGCAGCACTTCGGGCTTACTATGTCATGGAGGACCCTTGCGACTTCGAGCTGCAGGCCCTCCCCCCATCTGTCCCCACCGTGGACATGGGGACCCGGGGCAGGACCCGGGCTGGAGGGAGTGCAGAGGAGGAGGGCAGCAGAGGCCCGGGATCCCGAGAGGCCGCCCCCGAGGCCTGGATCCTCCGTGCTCTGCCCCACACACAGGAAGACCTAAAGATCTACCCTGCCTGGCTCAAGTGAGACCCAGGCCCCAGGCCCCAGGCCCAGGGTCTGCCAGTGGGAGCTGGGGGGGCGGGGTGGGGGAATGTTACCTGAGCTCCTGAGATTGTTCCCTGCAGGGTGGGTGTGGCCTACGTGTCCATCCGTGTGACCCCACGGAGCACAGCCCGGACCGTGGTGCTGGAGGCTCTCCTGCTGCTCGGCCGTCAGGTGTGTATGCCACTGTGGTCCTGGCTGGCCTGGTGGAAGACCTGGAGGAGCTGGAGCTCCAGGCCTGACGCTGTGACCTCTGACCCCCACAGGCTGAGGGTCCTGAGAGCTTCCAGCTGGAGGAGGTGCTCATGGGCAGCAGGCAAGGTGAGCGGTAGCCTGCGGTCGAGGGTCCCTGATCTGCCCCTGGGTGCCCTGAGGTCTTCGGGGCAGCTGCTTGCGATGTGGGAGTGGCACCTGGTGCCCACGGGCCTTGCCTGTCATTCTTGCAGTCCAGCGGACGGTGCTGGAGGATGAGGAGCCCTTGCTCGCCCGGCTTCATGACATCCGGCAGGTCATTTGGTGTGAATGCTGGTCCCCACAGAGTCACCAGCCTTTGGCCATGGCTGCTGCCTCCCAGCGAGGGAGCCTGTCCCCAGGACCCTACGTGCCAGTGCCAGCCCTCCTGGGCCTGGCGGGTCTGTCTGCTTGCTCATGTCACTGTTCTCTCGAAGGTGGCATTTTGAACCCCACACCCCACTCCCTGGGGCTCCCTGAGGAGAGTTGAGGGGCTTGTCCCGAGGGAGGAAGTATGTGTTTCCTTTTCTGTCTCGTCTCAGTGTGGTTCAGCCTGGGAAGTCTTTCTAGATGGAGGGTGGAGGGGCCGGGAACCGTGGTGCCCTCCCTGAGTGCTCTGCTCCGGGTCCTACCTCCCCACAGACGTCCCTGCGACAGATGACCCAGACGCGGTTCTATGTGGCTGAGAGCAGAGCTGTGGCCCCCCGTGTCTCCCTGTATGTTGCTGGCCTGCCTTTCGGGCTGTCTGCCCAGGAGTATGGCAGCCTGCTGGATGAGGCTGTGGCCACCAAAGGTGTGACTGCCTGGACTGACCGGGGAGCAGGGGGAGGAGGGGACGGGTTCTGAGAGCAGAATGTGGGGGCTGGTTCTCCTCCTCCCCCGCCATACGGTATCTGAGCCTTTGCCAGGCTGGTTCCCACTCGTTGGGTCTCTTTTCTCACCTCCAGGGCCCACAGTGCTCACCTCCTTCAGGGGGCTTCTGAGACCCCAGAGGTCCAGCCTCTGCCTTTTGCTCTGAGTTGGGGAGGGACATGCTGGGGGAGCTGCCCCTCCTGGGTTGTGGGAACCACCTGCAAACAGGAGCAGCAGGGTTGGCCTCCAAGGCTGGGCAGGGCCTGGGGACCGAGCACCTCCCCTGACCGCAGCCTATCTTCGCAGCTGGCCTGGTGTCCGTAAGCCACGTCTACTCCTCCCAAGGTGAGCCACTGCTGTAGGGCGTGGTCAGATTGGGCTCTGGAGTTAGGTGGAAAGGCTTGCCCTTCTTACCTCCGTATTCAGTGTTTCCATTTTGTTTAGGACCTGACCTTTTTCTGGGGGAACCCTGTGGGAGGGACCCATTTGTGGTTTTTTCCCCTGGCTCCCAGCTATCATGCTTTTGCTAAAATGTGATTGAGTTGCAGAGGACTTTTCTCAAAAACCTGTTCTGCCCTTGGGTTTGCATCTTTCTTTTCTTGGGAGACTGCAAATCTGCCCAGAAGCGGGAGGCCCAAATGCCTTCTGGGGCTCCCCAGCAATCACTATCCTCCATTCTTGTGGGGGTGTTCCTCCCAAGCCCTGGGGTGAGGGTGTGCTCTGCCACGCTGCCCTCTTTTGTCCATCTCTGTGTCCTGTCTCTGAGCTTGGGCACCCTCAAAGGCTCCACGGGGCTGGTGGTCCTGCATCACATGGCTGCCATTGGATGGCCAGACCCAGGGTCCCTTCTGGCAGCAGGATGAGGGAGGCCACAGTCTGAGCTCACAGTCCCCATGCTGCAGGTGCCGTGGTGCTGGACGTGGCCTGCTTCGCGGAGGCCGAGCGGCTCTACATGCTGGTCAGGGACACAGCTGTGCACGGCCGGCCGCTCACCGCCCTGGTGCTCCCAGACGTGCTGGTGAGTGGGTGCCATCAGGGACACTGGTTTGTCTAACACACGGCTCATAGCCTGGGAGGATTCTGAGATCTGGGGGCAACAGGCCTGTACCATGGCTGACGGGCGGAGGACTGCAAGCTGCAGTTCCCATCCTGCCATGGCTGCCTCCTAGGGGCTGTGTGTATGCACACATCCTGGGAGGCCCTTGCCTTTTCGAGGGTCACTGGGACCCCTGCTTGGGAGGCCTGGGCCACCTCTGGCCCGGAGGTGGGGCTCCCTGCCTTTGGACCACATCTGGAAGAGTGAAGTGGGATAAGCCCAGACCCGGGGTGGACACTATGTGAGTTGGGGCAGGGTGAGGGGCTGGAGCCCCAGGTCTTGCCCTACGCTCTGTGCCTTTGCCAGCAGCCTCTGGTCCTCACCTCTGCTGGCCCCCAAGGTTTCCCCTGAGGTGTTGGTGGCTGCTTCAGCCCTGACCCCAGAGCCCTGTCTGGGTGCAGCAGAATTAAGAGTAGGTGAGGTCACTATTGGGGACTGGGGGGTAGGTGAGGTCACTGTTGGGGACTGGGGTGGCGACTCCTGGGCCTTGCTGCCCCCTCCCACCTGAGCCAGGCATCACCGTGCTGTTCCAATGAGGATGCAGCCCCTGCAGGTTGGGGTCCCTGATAGACAGAGCCTGGTGGGTGGTGCCGATGTGTACTTTCTCCTGGTAGCTCCCTGCTGTGGGGTGAGCGGGTGTGGGAGGACTGCAGGCAGCTCTGCCCCACGAGTCACATATCACCCTGAGTGTGTCCTTGGCTTTGAGGTGTTGCTGAGTCATGCCTGTTACCCAGCATCTCCCACCAATGGATGCTGGTACCCCACACCACCCTCACCATTGCTGGGACCTCAGCCTCCCACCTGCTGTCTCTGGGCCCCACGTTTTGGGGGTTGTTCATTGGGAGATGAACTTCTGCCCATGGGAGGCAGGGGCCCCTCTGTGAGCCTGGCTGCTCCTGCTGGCTGTGCTGGGGGTGGGCAGGGTCCCGGAGAGCTGCAGGAGGGGCATGTGGACTCCCACGTGGGTGTCCAGCCTCGGCTGTGTGGATCAGGCAGTGGGCACAGTCTGGCCACAAGGGTCTTGGTGGGTGGTGGCATGGCCTGTATGCTCAGAGCTCCAGGCCGGGCAGCCTCTTCTCCTCCTGGGGCACATATGTGCCTTCCTCGGGTCGGGGACTAGCTGTAGATGGGCTCAGGTTATGTGGGCTCAGGGTTGGAGCACTTGTCATTGCCCCCATGGGGTGACCTTGAGAACCTGCACTAACCCAGCACCCCCCATCTGTCAGCACACGAAGCTGCCCCCAGACTCCTGCCCCCTCCTTGTGTTTGTGAACCCCAAGAGTGGAGGCCTCAAGGGCCGTGACCTGCTCTGTAGTTTCCGGAAGCTGCTGAACCCTCACCAGGTCTTTGAACTGACCAACGGGGGGCCTCTTCCTGGGTGAGTGTGGGGGTTCCTGCCACGCTGCTCACAGCCTCACGAGCCTTTGGAGGGGTGCTTGCACACGGCTGTGGAGAGGCCTGAGGGAACGGAACCATCCAGGCTGTTCTGCGTTGGCTTGGGTGCTCCTGTTGGCCTGCGTGCACCAAGTGCTTCCTGTTTGCCTCTTGCCAGGTTCCACGTGTTCTCTCAGGTGCCCTGCTTCCGGGTGCTGGTGTGTGGTGGGGACGGCACTGTGGGCTGGGTGCTCGCCGCCCTGGAGGAGATGCGGCACCGTCTGGCGTGCCCGGAGCCTTCCGTGGCCATCCTGCCGCTGGGCACAGGTGGGGTCGGCCAGCAGATCGGGGGACAGGCCTGGGAGGGTGGGAGGGGGGTGGGTGTAGAGAGTCCGTCTTCTCTTGTCCCTGTCCCAGGGAATGACCTCGGCCGGGTCCTCCGCTGGGGGGCGGGCTATAGTGGGGAGGACCCATTCTCCGTGCTGGTGTCAGTGGATGAGGCTGACGCCGTGCTCATGGACCGCTGGACCATTCTGCTGGACGCTCACGAGGCTGGCGCTGCAGAGGACAGCGTGGCAGACGTTGAGCCCCCCAAGGTACCAGGGTGGCACCTGTTGGGCCCCCCACCGGCAACTCTCTGCTTCTGTCCAGGGTTTCATGTGGATCCCAGCCACCACCTGGTGTAGGCACCAGGGCCGCCCCATTTATGGGGAAGCTGAGGCATGGTCAGCAGCAGCTTGCTGGGGACATCCCGGGCTGGCTGGCTCAGATGGTTGCCTCCCCGAGTGCACGTCAATCACAGGACGGAAGCAGCTGTGACAACAGCGGAGGGTTGGGTTGGAGACGAGGAGGCTGGACCCAGCTTAGGGGAGGTGGGGAGCACGTGGTGAAAACTGACCAGGGTCATGGGAGAATGTATCTTATCTCCAGATTGTGCAGATGAGTAACTACTGCGGGATAGGCATTGATGCAGAGCTGAGCCTGGACTTCCACCAGGCACGGGAGGAGGAGCCTGGCAAGTTCACAAGCAGGTGCCAGAACATCAAGGATGGGGGCTTGGGATTGCTCTAGATCACAGGGCTGCCCCCTGGTGACAGCGTACTTCCTGGGATTCACCAGCAGGACTTGGTGGATAGGGCTGGAACCTGGGGCTGTGGAGTTGTGGAGGGGGGTGTCATAGGTAGGGCAAGGGCTCCACCTTGACTGTAGGCATACACCTCCTCCGCAGGTTCCACAATAAAGGCGTGTATGTTCGGGTTGGGCTACAGAAGATCAGCCACTCCCGTGGCTTACACAAGGAGATCCGGCTGCAGGTGGAGCAGCAGGAAGTGGAGTTGCCAAGCATTGAGGGTCTCATCTTCATCAACATCCCCAGGTGCCAGTGGGTGGGGCTCCAAGGGGCTCCAAGGGCTCCTCTGGTGGGGCTTGAGGCCCTCCTCCAGCCTGTCCACTTACCTGTGCGCCCCTCCCTCGGTACAGCTGGGGCTCGGGGGCCGATCTGTGGGGCTCCGACAGTGACTCAAGGTTCGAGAAGCCACGCATGGATGACGGGCTGCTAGAGGTGGTGGGGGTGACGGGCGTCATGCATATGGTGAGTGTGGACAGCCGGGGCGGGCCCTGGCTTGGGACCGTGGCCCGCTGAGCCCCACCGGCCTTCTCTCCACTATCAGGGCCAGGTCCAGGGCGGGTTGCGCTCCGGCATCCGCATCGCCCAGGGCTCCTACTTCCGCGTCACCCTTCTCAAGGCCACGCCCGTGCAGGTGGATGGTGAGCCCTGGGTCCAGGCTCCTGGGCACATGATCATCTCAGCTGCGGGCCCCAAGGTACCACATGCAGTGAGCTGGGTGGGCCCTGAGGGCTGGCTGGGCGGTGCACCGTTACTCCCCAGTGGCCCCCTGGGTACAGGGAGGGGAGGAGCCCACAGGCTGAAACCCACCCCCTTTCTGTAAAGTGGGCTGAGACTGTGCCTGCAGTATCTTCCAGCACTTTGACCTGACCTGTTGTGGGACAGGTCCACATGCTCAGGAAAACCAAGCAGAAGCCCAGGAAGGCGGGAACCCCCAAGGATGCCCGAGCAGACGGGGTGCCCATCCCTGAAGGGGACTCCAAATAGCGGGACCCTGCAGCAGCTTGCTTGTACAGCAGCAGCGGGCGCCAGCCAGTGGTGGATGGACTTGCCTATGGCTTTGACTGGGGGCATTTCCTCCTCACCCCTATGCACCTGGAAGCTGCATGGGGTAGCAGCTGTTTCCCCCCGGCCTCCGATCCAGTGACAGGCTGGGTGTGGGGCTTTGGCTGGCCAGTTGTCCCGCCCCCTGGGATCCAGGCCACCATCCTGGGCGGAAGGCATTTCTCATGTTGCGTCCCCCCACCGTCTGTGAGCCCACCGAGCTGAGCAGCACCGAATCTTGGGCCATCCCCCCGGATGTTCCTAACAGAGTGGGCCCAGTACAGACCCCGAATGCCCCAACCACCAGGGCCTGCGGCCTACCTTCCCACTGAGGGCTGGGTGGAGACACCTGTCACTTGTCTTGGAGAAGCTGCCTTCTTTCCCGGCCCTGCCACTGTGGAGGAGCTGCTTGGGCTGCATGTGGGGGGGCGGAGGGCCCTGAGGCCAGGTGGGCTTGGCTGACATCCTGGAGATGCAGCAGGAGGGAAGCTGGGCCCTCAGGGGCTGGGGCAGAGTATGCAGAAGGGACCAAAAGCAAACCCAGAGGAAGTTTACAAAGTGTGACATTGGGGAGGAGCCAGCTTTAATCACCTGTTTGTCAACGATCAACATGCCCTTCCCAGCGCCCGTCCAGCTGACCAGGTGCCTGGGCCTCCCCTACCCTGGGTCCAGACAAGCCCCAAGATCAGTCTGGGGAGGCTCCAGGGGCCCCAAAGAAAGGCCCAGGAATCCTGTTTCTCCACTCATCCTGGCTGTTTGCTGCCAGCGCCATGTGACCGAGCTCTGCCCCACTAGCCCCATGTCCCCTGAGCTTCTGCCAAATCCGCACAAATGCACTGTAGTGGCCATTTGTGGCGGGACATCCCTATCATGTGCCTCCAGCACACACACGTGTGTCTGCCTTGACGTCCCCGGTGGCATCACTTGTGTCCGCTTTGCAGGCCTGGGCTCTCATTCTGGTCTGTAGTTGTCTGTCCTTCGTATTTGAGTGCGTCTGTGCGCCCAGAGGAGTGGTGTGGCTCGCACCCAGGCCCTCGTGTACCTTGTCACTACCTGAATGTAAGCATAATTTATATCCAGGACAATACAGTGTGGCCATTGCTGTGCTGCTGCCGTGTCCTTTGTGCCTGGGGCTGACACCATGGGCTCCCAGCAAGAGCGCGAGCACCCCGGTGGTTTAGCTTCACAAAGAGCGAGAATGTGGGCCTAGGACAGAGACCGGGACACAAGCTCCCATTGCACTATCTGCAGAAGCTCTAGAGAAGAAGGTTGAAGATATAAACCAAAAGCAGGCTGAGTGCAGGTGGGGGCAGCCAGGCCCCAGGAGCTAGCAGGCAGCAGGGAGGAGCGGGGCGTGTGCGTCCTCCTCGGCCTGGGTTGCTGGCTGCGTGAGGCCCCGCATGGCACACAGAAGGGCCAGGCCCAGGCGGACGAGGAGACGCAGCAGCAGGAAGGCGAAGGGCACGGCGATCTGCATGAGGTGGAAGATGGCCGTGCTGAACCGGCTGAGGAAGCAGGTGGACGCGAAGGCCAGCAGGCTGGCACAGGGGTACAGCGCAAGCTTGGCAAACATGAACGCATGCTCCCGGCCCCCGAAGCGGGCCGAGGGCTGCAGCGTCTCCCCCTCGTGCAGCAGGGCCGTGGTCCAGATGGCGAACTGGAAGATGCTGGCAAGGAAGATGATGGCGCAGCTGATGCGCACGCTCTCCAGCTCGTCGTGCGGCTGTCGCGCGAAGGCTGAGGTCTGCTGGTAGGCCAGCGGGAGGCCGCCCACGAAGGCCAGTGACAGTGTGTTGAGCAGCCCCATGGACTGCGTGGCCTTGCGGATGTGCAGGAAGAGCGAGTGGTGGGCAAACCAGAGCAGGCCCACCGTGGCAAAGGAGCCGAAGTAGGCCAGGAAGTGCGGCCCGTACACGCTCAGTGCTGCCACCAGGCTCCCATGGAACTTCTCCTTCACGTCCCTGGGGTCCGGCACGTTGTCCTCGCTGAGGGCGGCCAACACACAGCATTGGTCCTGGCCCCGCCGTGGGCGGTCAGGTTGGGGCTGCGGCTCCCAGCCTGAGCCCACAGCCCCCCGGCCTCCACGGGCCTCCCATGGGGCCCTGTCCATACCCCAGCACCTACTGGGCCACTTGGGTGGTGGTCGCCCTGATCCGGGGGCGGGGGCAGCCTCTGTGGTTCTCAGATCACTGGGCTGAGTGCCGCTGGAAGGAGCAACTCTAAGGCACATCTCAGATTCTCCCCCTTGTGGGCGGCCCCAACTGTGTGGCCCTAAGAGCTGCCCTATTCCAGGCTGGGGGGCAAGCACCCGGAGATGCCTCTACACTCACAATGGGGGGCTGCACTTGTGTCTGGGGGGTGGAGCTGCAGGAGTCTGAAGGTGGGGGCTGTGGCTCTGGGGGCAGAAGGGGGGCCTATCCTCTGCTCCTCGCAGCTGCTCACCAGGGAACTGGGGCTGGCTGGGCCCCACCGGTGGAAGCAAAGCCACACCATCCTGCAACCTTGGGTCAAGGTTCAGAGGTCGACACCAATGAGCACTTGGACCCCAATTTTAAAAATTCACAAATTACAGTAGGAACAAGCTATCAAGAGACTTAGGAGAACTAATACTATAGGCCTTCAGATATAAAATGTAAAATCAAGATGGTGTGACTTGTCCAACAAAATAAGAATGTTTTGAAATAGGGCCAAAGGAACAAGAGGCTCTAAAAAAGAATGGAAAATAAGAAAAAAAAAAAAAAGCAGATGAAACACTTAAAAATGCACTAACTAAAATGAGAACTTTGACAGAGGGAAACGATAGATTAGATGGGGCAAAAGAGCACCCAGTGAAGGCAAAATGGAGCAGGAGGGAGGACGCAGGAGAGGGGAGGTGGGAAGCCCTGGAAGGGGGAGCCCTGGGGGAGGGGCCTAGGGGAGACAGGGATTGGGGGAGCTGGCAGGGGGATGAGGAGTTGGGGGGAGACTTGGGTGGGGAATGGGGGTTAGAGGGGAGGGTGGGTCTGGGGACGAGGCCTAAAGGAGAAGGAAAGCACAGGCTGGGGAAGCCCAACCACACCCATCGACCCAGCCTGGGGAAGGGAGAAGCGACAGGAGGAGTCCTGTGTGCCCCCCGCCCCTAGCACAGCAGAGCCTGAACTCTCTGGAGCTCGGTCCAGGGTGGGACTCCTCCTCAAGCGGAGGGCTAGCATCAGGAGACCTCAGGCCCTGCCTCTGTGGGGTTGGATGATGACAGGCAGGCCATGGACCCCCTCCCTCAGGGCTGGGTCCTTACCAGATGTCCAGAATGAGGAGTGTGGCGACGATGGCGTAGACCCCGTCACTGAAGGCCTCCACCCGCTCCTTGCTGAGAGGTTCGTGCAGGTCAAAAGTGAAGAACTCCATGCTGTGAGCTGGGGGCTCCTGGGGGCCTGTGGGTGTGCCAGGAAGGAGGAGCTGGCCAGGGGAGGAGACTCTGCAGGGACACCTGGCCGTTATGGCTGCCTGGGCCCTTCCCATGCTCACAGGCCTTGGGGAGCAGTGCCAAGCACCTACCCACAAGCCTGCCCTTGCACCAGCTGGAGACCTTGCTGACGTAGGGGAGGAAGATGACCATCGCCATCAGCAGGTACGACTGCGTGAGACACACCACATGGCAGACACCATCCGCCCCAAAGGGATGGCAGCACGAGCAACAGAAGAAAACACAAATGAATTCTATCTCATCAAGCTGGAAACCTTTTGTGCATCAGAGTACTTCCAGAAGAAGAAAAGGTAGCTCCTAGAACGTGGGAAAGTACCAGCAGACCGCACCACTGACGAGGGTCTGGCACCTGGGGCAGGTGGAGAGCTCAGGCTCCAGAGCAAAGGCACGAACCCCCAACCCCAGGTGGGCAGAGGAGCTGAGCAGACAGCTCTCCGGAGGACCTGTGCAGTGGCCGAGCCGCACAGAGCAGGATGCTGAGCGTCACCAGGGATCAGGGAAATGCAAGTCAGAACCACGGGTGACCCCGCATCACAGCCCACAGGACAGCTGCTCTTGGAGGAGCAGACAGCGACAAGCTATGGCAAGGTCGTGGGCCGAGGGAGCCCTGTGCACCGTGGTGGAGATAGGGAGGCACCCGAGTCCATGGACGGATCAACAGGTAAGCAAGCTGGGTCCTTCCCATGACCTTCCAGTGAGAGGGTGGGTATCTGACACCTGCTACCACGGGAACAAACTGGAAAACATTCTTCTGAGAAAAGCCAGATGTAAAAGCCTCATATTTTATGATTCTATTTAACATGAATTACCCAGCATTGGCAAAGCTCTAGAGACAGGAAGTAGATGGGGGTTCTGGGGGAGCAGGGCATGGTGGGGGGTGCAGACTGCTCAGGGGTGCTGGGTTTCTGTTGTGGCCATGGGAGCAGTCTAGAAGTAGATGGAGTGGCGGCTGCGGGCTGGGGCCCCTGGACTGGGCAGGTGGCAGTGGACGCGGGAGTATGAAGTTTACGTTGTATGTCCGCCATGTTACTCCAGGAAGGGTGCAGGGCCGGGTCCAGAGGTGGGCCAGCAAATCCAGTCCTGGGCCCTGGCAGCAGGAGTCCTTCATGCCCCATACCACCCAGCCGGCAGCCCTGCAGGGAAGGCCTTTCTCCTGCCACCCCTGCCCCATCCCATGCCTGCCCTCAATGAGGGGCTCCCACCCCCTCTTCCTGCACACCCGGTTCTTCAAGGTCACCTGACATGGGGAGACGACGATGCACATGCTGCCATCAGGGAGACTGTGGGATACTTCAGATGCACCCTACCTCTGTCTCTAACCCGGTTTCCACACTCCAAGAGACCACATCCCACGCGGAATTCAACAGACACCCTGAGGGAGGCTGGGAGGCAGGAGGGAGGTGCCATCCACTGCAGGATCGGGGGAGGAACGAGAGTCTGGTGGGGGTGGGGGAACACAACACAAGAGGCACTACACAGATGCCGGCAGGCAAGGCCCTGGGCCCTGTGGGCGTCCTCATCAGAGGAAGGCAGTCCATAGGGAGGACAGGATGACCTAGACCAGGGTGGGGAGAAGGGGCTGGACCTCAGAGGTGGACCCAGCAAAGCATCTGGCTGAGGGAATGCCTGTGAGGATGGAGGCCACGGGGTTGCCAAGGAGGCTCCAAGGGACCCGCCCAGGGGTCAGGAAGCTTGGACATGCTGTCTCCCAGGTGGTGGTGGGCTCCAGGCAAGGAGGTGAGGGGGCGGGTGCAAGCGGTCAGAGTCGCATTGCAGGGAAGGAGGAAGGAAGGCTGATGGACAGGTGAGTGGGGCTGGACAGAGTGCTGACTGCTCCGTCACTGAGGGTCAGGGCCTGAGTGACCCCATCCCCTTGAGGCCCCTGGACCTACTGACCACTTGGGCCCTCTCAGCCCTCCCCTCCCCCAGTCTGGTGGCTCAGGTGTCCCCTCCCCCACTGCTGTCATCCCACCAGGGTGTGGTCACTGTCCAGTTCCCCATAGCCCTAGTGCCGTGGCACCTGCTATCCCCCAGGACACACCGGACAACTGCCCACGCACCCAGCCTACCCTGGCCCTCTGTTCAGCTCACCCAGGCCACCCACCGCAGACCCCAGCTGTCCCTCCCATCCTCCAAGCAGTGACCCTTGGCGTTCCTCAAGCCCTGACCTTGTCTAACCAATGCCTGTTGTGGGCTACCCTGAGTGCACAGCCTGGAGAGACCGTCCCACCTGGAGCCAGGACATGTATGTGGCCTCAGACCACATGCCCCTTACTCCTGGCCCTCTTCTGGCCCTGCCCTGTGCACTGGGAGCTACCGTGCTAGAGGCCACAGCCAAGGATGCCCTGCATGACCCCGAGCACCCCTGCAACATCCCTCCCGCCAGCGCCCCTGCACCTCCAACATGTTCAGGACAGAAGAAACCAAGCAGCAGCCCGAGCCTGCCTTCCACCTGGCGTGCCATCCTACGCCTTACCCCGCTCCGCCTGCCTGGGCCTGACCTCTGACACCTCAGCTGCTCAGCCCCCAGCACGCGGCTCCATCCTCGAGGAAATGATGCTCAGCCTTGCCAGCCTATCTGTTTCAAACTTGGAATCTCCTGGAATGTTTACTAGACATTTAAGACATCATCAACCATTTGTTCCCAGGTATGATGCTCTGGGCCCAACGCTTCCCTGTACTTGGTGAGGGCTCGATCCAGGCAGGAGCCATGCCTACAGCCCCCGAAACCCATTGGGACGGCTGCTGGTTTGTACTTCTCTGCATTCCCAGACGGCAAGAGTGTTCTAGAACATTCTTATTCCATTAGCTAAGGGCTAAAAAGGCACTAGCTGACCTTGACTTCTACGACCTGGCTGACACAGCTCCAAGTTCTGGCATCCCTGCACAGAGGCAGCACAGACTGAGTCAGGGCTGTCTGCAGAAGGCATCCTGACCTCCGACCTCAGCTGGGTGTTCCTCAGAGCCGGCCATTCCCCGGGCAGGGGGGGCTTCCTCCCCTCCTTCCCGCGCTCTCTCTGGGCGGCCCACACCCTCCACGTGGGTCTTTAGGACCTTTCTGCAAGTGCTCCCTACTGCGCCTCTTGCCTGCTGTCATAGCAAGGCTGCTGGGACCCCTCCACCAAGAGGCCCTCTAGTGCTGGCTGCATGGTGGCTTCACATGGACCCCTTACTCGCCCAGAGAACAAGCAGAGCCCAGACTCTGGGCATCCGTCTCTCTCTCTCTTCTCGTCCTAAGGATTCGCCCACTTGGGGAAAACGTGGGTGGTCATGGCCCACTGGCTGCCCCCACTGGATGGCGTGTCTCTTCACGCAGGCCTGGCTCTGTGGCGCCTGTTCGCCTGCACGGCAGGTCCCGGTGGAGAGAGTTTCCCTCCAGCTGTGCTCCCTGGCACCCTGGGTGTGAGGCCATGTGCCGGTGATCCCCGAGACCTTTGCACGGCTGTACCCCCCAGCCCACCCTCCTGGGGGCATCTCCTCCATAAGACAGTCACCCCACCCCCTGCTCCCCTCACTCACCAAGGGGTAGAAGAACAAGGAGAAGCCGGCGGCCACGAAGCACAGCGCTGGGCCCCTAAGGACGATGCCCAGGATATGCTGCCTGTAGAGGGCCCTGTGAGCGGAGCTCTCTATCTGGGGGTTCAGGAGGTGGGGGAAGTGGAACGCATACACAACGATCAGCGCCTGTGGGAGAGGGAGGCTGCAGGGCATAGGCAGAGGCCTCTGGCCAGTAATCCCCAGCCACCCACATCCACGGACAGAGCCGCATGGGTGTGAGGCTCAGCACACAATGACCTAGGGGATGCACAGGGGACAGGAGCCTCTGCTCTGCTCCCAGGGCCACATGGGGCTCCCAGAGAGTCTCGCCCCGCCAGGCACCGCAGGGCTCTGACCCTCTGCAGCCAGCACAGGAAGCCCAGGCTCTAGCAGTCTCTGGATCTTCTGCCGCAGCATGGCAGAGGGCCCGGGCAGACACCCTACAGCATGCCCCACAAGCACGACCCTTGCTATGGCTGACATGCCACATCCACACGTGTGGAAGACGTGTGTACCAGGATGACAAGCGTGTATAGGGGGGAAGGCAGGCTGGGGGGTCCTACCTGCACGGCCCCGATGGTGATCACACACATACAGAACAAGAAGATGCCCAGAGGCACCTCAGGAAAGGTCACCATTAAGGAAAACTGCAGCCAAAAACACAAGACAAGACACAACCAGGTTCGGCAGGTCCCCGCCACCCACGAGTCCCCTGCTCCCGGCCAGGTGCACACGCTGGGCTCAGACCCAGAGGGTATCCCTTGCGACCACAGCAATTCCACAGAACGCTTCCAGCCTTTCAAGTTGAAACATCATCAAATTCATGAAGAATTCTCTGTGACACACAGCCCTGCACACCCAGACCACAGTTCTATCAGAACTGAGAGTCGGGGCAGGTGGGAAGGAACTGCGGGGAGGGGCCCAGGATGGCCCAGGGCAGAGGGATGCAGGCCAGGCAGGAGCCAGGAGTGCCGCTGAGCATGGACAGGATGCCCCTCGTTGGGCCCTTAAGAGGCCAAGCTGGCATCTCTGCCATTGCAGGCCCCTTCTGGGGAGGCTTTCCCGTCCTTCGACCAGCCTTGGAACCCGAGGTATGCCCACCCCCAAAGCAGCCGAGACTGCTGCCAGCTCCCTTGGGGCTTTTCTCCTCTTCGTAGCACGGCGCTTGGGCCCTAGACCACCCCGCCAGTCTGAGTGTTTCCGAGGCGGAGGCATCCTGGGTCTTGAGTCCTCTTGCCCAGGGGAGGGCAGGCTGGCCCCAGGGAGGAAATGCAGGTACTCACAGTGAACGGTAGGAAGGTGATGGTCATCATGCAGGCCTAGAAAGGAGGAGAAAGGGCAGGAGGGGAAGACAGGCAGGTGGCTCCAGGCCCTGCTGCCCAGGGCAAACTTTGGCAGTGCCCCACCTGCAGGCTGTCATAGTCTACCTCCCAGACCCCCAGGAAGCTCACACCCTCGCCACCCGACAAGGAGGGGAGGGGCCTCATCTTCTCAGGGGCGTCCCCAGGGAGGACATGTGAGGAGCCCAGGAGTGGGTGCTGGTGGATTCCAGGCTCCGTACCCCAGAGGCACCAGAAAAGTCAAGACCCTGCTTGCCTTCCTTGGAGGACAGGCCTACAAACATAATCGTTTCTCAAGAAATGAAAGGACTCACCAGGTTGAGCAAAGCAAGCGTGTCGTCTATTTTCCCAACAACCTGGAACAGTCTAAACCGTGTAAGAAAATGAGGAAGGCATGCTGTCAGTAAAGGGGCTCTAACAGCTTCTACACAGGGCCCAGCATTTGCTGATTAAAGTATCAGTAAAAGATGTCATTTTGGGGGGAGGGGCAGAGGGAGAGAAAGAATCTCAAGCAGGCTCCTTGTCCAGGGCGGAGCGTGACATGGGGCTCGATCTCAGGACCCTAAGACTGTGACCTGAGCCCAACTCAAGAGCTGGGTGCTTAACGGACTGAGCCTCCCAGGCACCCCACATATGTCATCTTTAACCAAATTTAGAATACTACGTACTGTACAAACTTTGGAAGACACTGAAAATACAAACAGGAAACCCTAAGGCCCTAGAAACTGCACTGCTCCTATTCGCATGGACTCTTGTAACTTGGGGTGTGTGGTTTCCAAGAGAGTCGGGGTGGGTGTGCAGAAGCCACAGAGGGAGCTGTGGAGGGAGGGCATGCCCTCAGGAGGCGCCCCAAGGGCTCTGGGACATCCCCTGGCAACCCTGGGAGACTGGAACCCTGAGGAGGAGAAGTCAAACCCCCAGGAAACTTGTTCTTCAGGTCTTGTGTCCAAAGACCATTCTCAAAAAAGGAAGTCCTTCTGGGGTTGCCATACACTAAGCACGCTGAAACACCCTATCGAACAGGGAGGTGGCTGGATATGAAGGCAGGAAGGTGAGACAGAAAACTAAACACAGGGCCAGGGACTACAAGCGACTGAGGAACTCCCCCAGCCCCTCCATGGAGACCCCTCAGGACTCTGACCCCTCTGAGGACAGGACCTTCTCCTGGGCAGGGCTCAGTGGGCCTCAGTACCCCCATCCCCACCCAGATCCAGTCAGGGGCCAAAAGGAGTTCGAGGGGGCCAGTACTCAGGGCTACATCCCCTTGGGACGGCAGCCCCACTGGCGACCCACGGAGCTCAGCCGTGAGGGCCCCACGTGGATCTGTGCCGCTCTGGGTACTGCAGCCCCAAGTGTGGCCGTGGATGACTCAGCACACACACGAGGTGCTGCGTGGCTCTGTCCATGCCATTGGAGTGACAGGGGCTCAGCTACATCAGGTGCTGGCAGGGCCACGAGCAGTACCAGGCAGAGGGTGGCTGTGGCCCTCCTCACTCTCCACGGACAAGCGAGGTGGGAGAGAAAAGCCCTCCCCTAAGCCCTTACGGAGGGCCACTTGTCCCTGCCAGAAACGGTCCTCTTGCTGAAAACAAGTTTGTAATGTACGCGGCCAAGACACCATCAATGTGAGCGCCCGTGTCTGAGGGGCGCCCGGTTTCCCTGTGCGCCCGGCACCCCCACCTGTAAGTGTTGCCTCTGCGGGGGCAGAGCTAACTGAGGGCATCAGTGCACATCCTGCCCCAACGCTCTTCTGAGAGCCTGCCTGCCCGCCGCCCCACCTTGGGCTCCGGGCTCCCCTGCAGCTCTGGTAGATCCCCAGGAACCTCTCCTCCTGGAGAGAAAGCTCTGGCTTGAGAGTGGGCCTAAGTCCCTAGAAGCTGCTCTGCTCACAACGCAGCCTCCTACTCCTCGCCCAGAGTCCCATGTGGCATGACCTGCCCTCGCCCTGCCCCGTCTCGAGGCCTGGCATCTGTGCCTGTGGGAGCGGGTGACCCTGTGTCACGGGACTGCGGGGAGGCAGAGGCCTGCAGCCATGGGGCACACACACCGAGTGAGCCCCAACACGTGGACCTCAGCCTGGAAAAAGCCCCCAGCCTCGTTCTGTACCTTGTGTGTGCCGCCCAGGCCACAGTCACGATGAGAAACGTCATCAGATAAACAGCAATCCTGGTTGCCAGAAGCTTCTGTATACTTTTGTCAAACTGGTGGAACAGAAGAGCATCACCGTCAGAAACTGCTTCGCTCCATGGCCGCTGGTGGCCCCGTCCGGGGTTCTTGGCTCAGCTTGGAGCCCAGACCCTCCCTGAGGCTCCTCTTCAGGGCAGCCTCCCCAGCTCCCTGACCCTTGCCCCAAAACACCGACGCCCCAAGTCCCATAGGTGCGTGTTCAGGGATCTCGTGTGCAGCTTCCTGCTGAAACGCCGGCTCCTGAGGCACAGACCCCTCGTCCAGAGCAGGGAGCCCATTGAGCTGCCAGGCACCTGAATCTGACGGAGCTCCGAAGCCTGGTGAGGTAGCGGGGATGCCTTCCCTAGGTGGGAAGGCACTCGGACGGACAAAGCTTGGACTTTATCAGCAAAAACTCCAAGTGGAAAACTGATTGCTTTACCACTTTCACTGGTTCTTTACCCGCAACCGGTGGGTGTGTCACCCAACACGCCAGTACTGCACTGAGGACAGAGTTTCTGAATTCCTAGATTTTCTGGGCCTTGACTAGTCTTTCCCTTCAAGTTGGGAGGAGCGCCCACTGGGTGACACCTTCCAGCACTGTCCTCTCTGAAGGCGTCCCCAGATCGCTGCACAACTTTCTGGCTCAGAGCTTCTCCATGCACCCGCCAACACATACAAGATTTCACAACAAGTACTGCTCTCCAAACGAGTGGCCCCAGCTACAAGTGGAGCTCACTGCAAACACCTTCCTGTGTCACCTCCTGGCATCTCCGGTCACACATCCACACCCATCCTTTTTCTTTGTTAAAACATTTGATTTATTTTAGAGGTAGAGCACGTGTGGAATGGGGAAGGGCAGAAGAGGGAGAATCTGTAGCCAACTCCCCACTGGGCGCAGAGCCCAATGTGGGGCTCGAGCTGACCATCTGGGAGATCAGAACCTGAGCTGAAACCAAGAGTCAGACGTCCAACCAACTGAGCCCCCCAGGTGCTCCTCACCCATACCCCATTCTGACCTGGCCCAAGCCCTCCCCAGAGAAGATTCCGGCGCAGACACAGCTAGGCAAGCACCAGGGCCCCAGTGGGTACCAGGCCTCCTCTGAGGAGGGCGGCTAAGAGCAGAGTGGCACTAGGCCTGCCACACTCCCGTGGCCACTCCCTGGCGACACCGGCATTGTTACCGAATTCTCTTCAAAACCCCACCAAAGGTACAGCCCTTTTGGCAGAGATGCAGAAGGCAAATTCTGAGCAGCTCCCGTGATTCCCAGTGTGTCCAGGCTGAGCGTGCTCGCTGGGGCTGAAGCCCAGACGGCAGCTGTGCCAGTGGGCCCTGCAGACCCAGCCCCTCGCACCCTCACTCCTCTGGGCCCAAACTACACCCCTGTTCAGAGGGGCTGGGCGAGGCACGCTCACACAGGCATGCCCGGGGACTTTCAAGAGTCTTCTGAAGTCATGTCCAGCTTTTGAGGTGCCTAGTATCATGACTTAACTTAGAAAACAGAAATATTCTGTCAATACAAATGGAAACTCTGCTTTAGAAAACAGTTTCCCACTCACTTCCATGACAAAAACCCACATGTCCCTGTGCACCAAGGAGGCTCCTGCCCTGCAGCTGCAAGCTGCCCTCAGCCCCTCAACACCCACCGTGACAGACACTCTGCGGGCACCGGGAACCGGCTTCCAGACCCACAGCCGGATGGGCTTCTGCACTGTCTGTCCTCAGCCCACCCTGAAGGCTCACTTTGAGAGCACTGCAGGACAGGACTGCGGCCGACAAGGGTGGCCGAGAGAGAAGACAACCTTGCCCCAGTGCTCCCAGCCAGGCACAGCCCGGGGGGGCCTAAAATTGGGCTCGTGGATGGAGTGAGTCTCTGGCACCCTCACCCGGGATACTGCAGACTGTGGTTCCCCAAGTACCTGTTCTGGGGAGATCTCCGTGTGGGTCACAGGCAGGATCTATGAGAGCAAAGACACAAAAAGAACGAGGGACATTTCTTAGGCTGTACAGACCACTCCTTGGATGTCAGGGTGTCAGGGACTCAGGCCAGTGCTGGACTGCTCCCCCCACCCATCCAGCTGCTTGGGTGGCCAGGGGACCCCAGGACACTGCTGAGACAGGGCAGGGTCTATGCTGGGCCAAGGTCTACCAGAAGGCCTCTTGAGAGGGGGTGGCCGGGGTCCCAAGGTGAGGGGGGGCGTCTAGAAGGCCCACAGACCATCACAGTGGCGATGATGGACAGGAGAGCATCACTGAAGCTGAGCATGCGGTGTGAGTGCTGGATCCCGTCAGCAGCGTCCTCGTCCCTTGCGCCCGTGGGGGCGTCTCCCTGTATCCGGAGGGCTGGTTCTGGGGTCTGGGGCCCGGACATGGTGGGGCCTGGGAAGAAGCACAGGTCTGAGCAGGCCCAAGTGCTAATGAGGCCCACCCCTGCTGGCTTCAGCCGCGACAAAGGGCGGGTTGGTGCCTGAGAGCAGGACGCCCTTCCCAACCAGGCCTTAGTGGTGGCTGTGCTACTGGTCCTCTCTCAGGAGGCCCCTGTACTCCCAGCCTCAAGAAGAGCACTGTCACCTGGGAGTCACACTCAGTGCCTGCCTCTCCTCTAGAAATGGGAGAAAAGAGAGAAAGCGCATAGACACAAGGTAGGCATTCCACACACTGTGTCACTAGCCTGAAACCCCTGACCCCAACACCAGACCCTTCACTGTTAGACACTTTCATCCTAACCGTGGGATGTTCTTGCATCCAAGTACTAACCGGGCTTGACCCCGCTTGGCTTCTGAGATCAGCTGAGACTGGGCACGTTCAGGGCAGTATGGCCGTGGACTAAATGTGGGATGTTCTATAGGTCCAAGTCACAGAGACTCGGACTAAAACAGAGTGCCAGCCCTTGCAAGGACAAGACACAATGAAAATGAGCCCCACCCCCAGAAACAGATAAAGGAGGCTTATGGGCAATTTGTGGGCAGGAAAACCAAACATGTAAGATACCCAGCTTTGTCAGCGACTAGGGAAATGCAAGTGAAAACAATGAGGTACCACTAAGGTCTGCGAAAGTCCGTCACGAGTGATGAGGTCGTGGGGACACAGGTTTGGGCAGCATGTAAAGGGTGCCACATGCGTACAGAGACAACAATCATTAATGAAGTGTGGCGTGCACACTCTACAAGGGGGGCCTCCATTTCTAGGTGCAGCCTCAGGCGTGCAGACACGGAAATAGAGACCCATGGGATGTGCGCTGGTATAGTTTAACAGATGTCAAAAACGCTCTATTATTAAACACTAAATGAATTGTTAGAAAGTGCTAACAACTGAATGTTTGTGTCCCCCAAACACCTCCGCAGAAGCCCTAACCCCAGTGGGATGGCATGAGGAGAGGGACCACAGGCGGAGGTGAGGAGAGGGCAGAGAGGAGAAAGGAGAGGCCCTGAGTGAGGCCATCGCGAGAAGGTCTGCGGGCCGCCACAGCGTGCTCAGACTTCAGCCTCCAGAACCGGGAGACCTAGCAGCCTGTCGCAGAAGGCTGGGCCCGTGGGGTCTTGTGAGGGCGGCCCTGCTACTGAGACACGAATTGAAGATAAAAGAAACAGATGTGGGCATGTATAAAACTCAGAAACACAATGTTAAGAGAAATAAATCATGTTGCAAAGAAAATACACATACAATTATACCACTTATATACATGTTTAAAACACAGTGACCATCTGTCCTCCCGTGATTATACAAACGTGCACAATAAGGATATGGGACCAAGCGAGGCCGGCACTCACCAACTTCATGATGGCAACATGATGACCTCGGCAGGGTGGGGTGGGAGCTGTGGTGGGAAGGGGACTTTAGCTTTCAGATGTATCCAGAACTTCTCACTTTGTTCACTTTTTTTTTTAAGATTTTATTTATGTATTTGACAGAGATCACAAGTAGGCAGAGAGGCAGAGAGAGGGGGAAGCAGACTCCCTGCTGAGCAGAGAGCCCAATGTGGGGCTCGATCCCAGGACCCCAATATCATGACCTGAGCCGAAGGCAGAGGCTTAACCCACTGAGCCACCCAGGTGCCCCTCAACTTTGTTCGCTTTTTAAAGCTTACATAATGATCACTCCTCCTGGTGTACAGGTCTATAAATGTTTGACACATGCACACAGGTGTGTAACCATGACCACAGTCACAATGTGGTTCAGAAGTCCCTGAGCACACCGTCTGTGCTCAAGCCTTCCACTACCCCAAATCCTGGCCACCATTCATGTTTTCTGTTACCATCAGTTTGCCCTTTCCAGAATGTCCCATAAATGGGTTCATAACCCACGAGCCCTTCTGAGTCTGGCTTCTTTCAGTCAGCATGACACGCCCAAGAGTCACCTGTGTTTTGGGAGTAGCAATAATAAATTTTTTACTGCCATGTACTTAATTCTACTGTATGGGTGGACCCCTTTGTTCATCCACTCACTACCTGGAAAACATGGCTTGTTTCTAGTTCTTGGTGGTTTTAAATAAAGCCACTATATATATCTGCTCACAAATATTTGTGGAAACATGTTTTTATTTCCCTTGGGTAAATACCTCAGAATGCATCTGCTAGGCAAATGCATGTTTCACTTTGCGAGAAACCGCCAAACCACTCACCAAAGGAGCTGTGCCACTGTGTTCCTGCTGGCAGTGTCTGGAAACTACAGCTGCTCCTCATCCTCCCCAGCACTTGGTTTGATAGGATTTTTAAAGTTACCTTTTAATTGTAGCTATGCTAATAGATGTGGAGTGTATAACTGGATATTTTCATGTGCCTTTTGTCTGTGTACCTTTCGTAGCAAAGTGTCTGTTAGAATCTTTTGGTTTACTCTGGGGGGAGTTCTTTGTGTCATTATTGAGTTTTGAGATTTCTTTATATATTCTGGTTAGAAGTCCTTTGTTAGGTATGTAATTTGCAAATATTTGCTTGCAGTCTATGGCTTGTCTTTCATTCTCTTAACAGTGTAGGAGCACAGAAGGGTTAAATTTTGATGTAGTTCAACTCAACTTTTCTCTTTTTTTAAAAGATTTTATTTATTTGTCAGAGAGAGAGAGAGAATACACAAGCAGGGGAAGCAGCAAGCAGAAGGAAAGGAGAAGCAGACTCCCCGCTGAGCAGGGAGCCTGATGCAGGGCTCCATCCCAGGACCCCGGGATCGTGACCTGAGCCAAAGGCAGATGTTTCACCGACTGAGCCACCCTGGAGTCCCTCAACTTTTCTTTCACAGACCATTCTTTCGGTGTCATATCTAACAAGGCTTTGCTTAACTCAAGATGACAAAGATTTCCTGTTTTCTTCTAGAAGTTTTAAAGTTTTAGGTTTTACTTTCAGTGGATGATAGATTTTTATCTATTTTGTAATTTTTATAAATTACTTAGTATTATTATATAATTTTTATATAACATGCAAGGTGTATTTGAGCTTTCTTTTTTTTGCAGATGGACGTTTGATTATTCCAATACCACCTGCTGAAAGACTATCCTTTCTCCACTCAACTGCCTTTACATTTGGGTCAAAACTTGCCACATCTGTGCAGGTCTATCTTGGGAGCATCTATTCTGTCCAGTAGGTTATTATGTACCTATCCCTTTGCCGGCATCAGTCTTGACTACAGCTTCATGGTAAGTCTTGGTATCTGACAGAACAAGTCCTCCAACTTTGTTCTTTTTCAAAATTGTTCTGAGTATTCTAGTTCTTTTGCCTTTCCCTCACATGCTTCTGCTTACAGGGGCCCCTTTCCTCAGTTCTTCTAGGCAGAAAGAGGGGGGTTTCTCTTAATGGTTTTTGCTGTCTGTGCAACTCACAGCACAGCCCCACAGTGGATACCTGGCCTATGGTCAAAGCTGTGGGAAAAAGAGATTTTAAAAAATGGAAAACACAAACTTATGTGGGTCACTGCTCCAAGTTTCAACTACCCTTCCCAATCTATCGGCTTTGCATTGTTTTCAGTATTTTATCCCGAGCTTTTATCTGTCATCAGCAAGAGAGAAAGGTGGCTTATGCCATGACGGCCAGCACTGAACTCTAACATTTTATTTCTCAAAAGGGAAAGACTAGGGGAAAGGGGGTGAGCAAGGAGGGTGAAAAATTTCATGCCCAAAAATAAGACAAAAAGTTACATGTGTTTTTTAGGCACTGACTAATTTTGGGAAACATATCTGCTATATTTTTTTAGATTTTTTTTGTTTAAACTTTCTCAAATATTATTTTTAAATAATCAGAACATGTTAAATATAGACACAAAAATCCTCAATAAAATGTTAACAAATGGAATCCAGCAATGTATAAAAAGGGCTGTATACCATGACCAAGTGGGATTTATTCCAAGAATACAAGGTTGGTTTAAAATAAAAAATTAGTGACTGTAATATACCACACCAAAGGAACAAAAAAAACAAAACTACACAATCATCTCAACAGATGCAGAAAAAGCATCTGACAAAATCCAATACTTCTCCATGATAAAAACATTCAACAAATTAGGAATGGAAGTCAGCTCTGTCAATCTGATAGATGGTATCCACAAAAATCTCACAGCTAACATCACACTCAGTCGTGAAAGACAGACCACCTCCCCACCCCTGCCCCAGATCAGCAACACCATTCAACACCATACTGTTAAGGTTATACCCAAAGCACTCAGGCAAGAAAATAAAATATAAGGCATATATACTGGAAAAGAAGTGAAACTATCTCTGTTTGCAGGGTGTGTGATTTTACACAAAGACAATCCTAAGGAATCCACACAAGAAAACTATTACATCTAATAAATGAGTTCACTAAGGCTGCAGGAAATGAGATCAATATAGAAAAATCAACTGCATTTGTATACACTCGCGAACACCAATCTGAGAAAAACTTCTGAAAACAATCACATTTATAAGAACATTAAAAATATTAACAAATTAACAAAGGAAGTGCAAAACATTGTTGAAAGAGATTGAAAAAGACTGATGTAAATGGAAAGACATCCAAATGGAAGGACTTAATATCATTACAATGGCAATACTTCCCAAACTGACTGACAGACTGAATGCAATCTCTACCAAAATTCCAACTGCCTTCTATGCAGAATAAGCTGGCCCTAAAATTCATATGGAATTTAAGGAACCTTTGACTATTTACAGAATACCCAAAACAATCTTGAAAAAGAAGAATAAAGCTGGACAACTACCATTTCTTCATTTCAAAACTTACTATAAAGCTATGGTAATCAAAAGTGCACTGCCAGCACAGGCCATATGGATCAACAGAGGAGAACTGAGAATTCAGAAACAGACCACTATATTCATGGTCAACTAGTTTTTGATAAGACTGCCAAAACCACTTAATGGGGAAAGAGCAGTCTTTTCCACAAATAGTGATGAGACAACTGGATATTCACATGTAAAAGAATGAATGTCGGGGTGCCTGGGTGGCTCAGTGGGTTAAAGCCTCTGCCTTCGGCTCAGGTCATGATCCCAGGGTCCTGGGATGGAGCCCTGCATCAGGCTCTCTGCTCAGCCGCAAGCCTGCTTCCCTTCCTCTCTCTCTGTCTGCCTCTCTGCCTACTTGTGATCTCTGTCAAATAAATAAAATCTTAAAAAAAAAGAAGAATGAATTTGGATCCTACCTCATACCATATACAGAAATTAATTAAAAATGGATCAAAGACCTAAATGTAAGAGCTAAAACACTGGGAGGAAATCTTCATGGCCTTGCATATGGCAAAGGACTCTTAAATATGACACCAAAAGTTATTATATGACACAAATAATAACAGAAACAGGAACTGGAGTTCATCAAAATTTGAATTTTTTTTGCCTCAAAGGACACTATTAAACTGAAAAAATGATCCACAGAATGAGAGAAAATATTTGCATATCATATATGAGAAAAGTTTAGCATCCAAAATATACGAAGAACCCTTATAGTTTAACGGTAAAAAGACAATCCAATTCAAAAATAGGCAAAGGATATGAATATACATTTCTTCGAAGAAGATGTATTATTAGCCAACAAGCACATGAAAAGATGCACATCATCACTAGATTACATTAGAGAAAAGTAAATCAAAGTGATGAGATAATCATCCTCCAGGACAGCTATAATAAAAATAATGAAAAATATTGGGGCACCTGGATGGCTTAGTGGGTTAAGCCTCTGCCTTCGGCCTGGGATCGAGCCCTACATCAGGCTTTCTGCTCAGCAGGGAGCCTGTTTCCCCCTCTCTCCCTGCCTGCCTCTCTGCCTACTTGTGATCTCTGTCGAATAAATTAAATCTTTTTAAAAAATTAAAGGCTATTTTAAAATAAATGTATGTATTTTTTAAAAAATATTTATTTATTTGACCAAGAGATAGAGAGCACAAGTAGGCAGAGTGGCAGAGAGAGGGAGAGGGAGAAGCAGGCTCTCCACTGAGCAGGGAGCCTGATGCAGGACTCGATCCCAGGATGCTGGGATCATGACTTGAGCTGAAGGCAGCCATTTAACCGACTGAGCCACCCAGGTGTCCCAATTTATGTACTTTTAGTAGGCCCCCATACCCAATGTGGGGCTTGAACTCACAACCCGGAGATCAAGAGTCTTAGACTCTACTGACTGAGGCACCCAGGCACCCCTCATGGGCTATTTTTGTTTTAGGAGGGAAACTGAGCAAAAGTAGAGTTTCCGTATATCTTTTCAGCACTCCCCCTCCAATTTCCCATTAACATCTCACATTAGTGGTGCAACTGATGAGCCATACTGATAACATCATGAAGTCCATAGTTTACATTAGAGTTCTACAGGTTCTGACAAATACTAAGGTTCTGACAAATACATGACTTGTATCCACCATTACACTATCATCCAGAAATTTAACACCCCTAAAAATCCAGTGTTCCCCCTATTTATCCCACCCTCCCCCAGAAACCCCTGGTAACCATTCATCTTTTTACTGTCCCCAGAGTTTGTCCTTTTCCAGAATGTAATTGGAACCATACAGTATGTGGCATTTTCAGACTGACTTCTTTCACTAAGTAATATGCATTCAAGGTTCTTCCACGTCTTTTCATGGCTTGGCAGCTCATTTCTTTTTACTGCTAATAATCCATTTTATAGATGTACCAGTTTATCCATTCCAAGGTACTCTGAAGTACATTTTGATTAAAGCCAGGTTAACTGTTTCTTTTATTGGTTGTGCTTTAGTGTCATACCAAAATATGTCACTTTTCCTAAGTTTTATGGTTTCAGGTTTCACATTTAGATTTATAATTTTTTGGTATATAATACCAGGTATGAATCAACATGTTTAAACATAAGGATATCCAATTTTTCCAGCATCATTTTTTGAAAAGACTACCTATCTTTTCAATTACTTTTATTCCTTTGTAAAAAATCAACTGAACTTGTATGTACTTGTGACCCAATTTCTGACTATTCTGCTGCAGATTTACTTATGTACCTCTAATCAGTACCATACTACTTTGATTACTGTGGTTTTATAATTAGCACTGTGGTTAATTAGGCAAAGTAAGTCATATAACCTGCCCTTGCTCAAACTCATTTGGAGGATTCTACTTCCTCTGCAGTTCCAAATTAATTTTAGAATCAGTGTGTCCATTTTTACAAAAAGTCTGCTTGGATTTTGCCAGGAACTGCACTGGATCTACAGATCAATTTGAGAAGAATCAGTCTGACCGAATCTCCCAATTTATGAATATGGTGTATTCTCTCCATTTATAAATGTCTAATTTCTCCCAGCCACATTTTTTAGTTTTCAGTGTATAAATCTTGCATATCTTTTTTCAGATTTATCCCAAGCACTTAATATTTTTTGATGCTGTTGTAAATGGCATCTCCCCTTCATTTCAACTTCTACTATCTCGCTGGTTATCGAGAAATAATGGGACTTATTTTTTGCATATGGATCTCATACTCTTCAATCTTGCTCAATTCACTTATTAGTACTAGTAGCTCTTTCTGCAGATCCCATTTGTGTGTGTGTTGTGGTTTTTTGTTTTTTACATAGAGCAGTGAGTGTCAACTGAGGGTGGTAATGTCCCTTGAGGGATATTTGGCAACGTCTGAAGAGATTTCTGGTTGTGACAAATGACGTATGTTAATAGTATCCTGGGGATAGAGGTACAGGTACTGCTTAACGTCCAACAACATACTAGATGACAATGCCACACCTTTAGTTCAACAAGGAATTATCTGGCCCCAAATATCAATGGTACCAAGACTGGGAAAGTAATATAAAGAATTATGTCATCTTCATAAACAATTTTACTTGTTATTTTCAATCTGGGAGATTTTTTTTTCTTGCCTCATTACACTGGCTAGAATTTCTTCAACAAGGATGAGCAGAAGACGTAAGACCTGACAACTCTGGCTTGTTACTGATCCAGTTTTTTATCATTCCGTATGTCAGCTATAGCCTTTTCATAAATGCCCTTATTATTTTATTTATTTTTTAAAAATTTTATTTTTTACTTGAGAGAAATGAGAGAGAGAAAAGTGTGTGTGAGAGGGAAGAGGTCAGAGGGAAAAACAGACTCCCCACTGAGCAGGGAGCCCAATGTGGAACTCGATTCCAAGACTCCAGGATCATGAGTCAAAGACAGTTGCCCAACCAACTGAGCCCCCAGGTGCCCCAAATTATTTTATTTACTTTTAGAGGGAGAGAGAGAGAATGAGCATGCATATGGCAGGGAGGGGCAAAGGGAGAGGGAATCTCAAGCAGGCTCCATGCTCAGTGCAGAGCCAGATATGGCCCGACTTTATGACCCTGAGATCATAAACCTGAATCTGAGATCACCCTGAACTGAAATCAAGAGCTGGATAACTGAGCCCCCAGGAGTGCCATAAATGCCCTTAATATGCTGGCGAAGCTTCATTTCATTCCCAGTTTGTTGGCAGTTATTTTTCTTTTTTTTAAATTAGGAATGGATGTTGGGTCTCATCATGTTTTTTCTGTCTAGTAAGATGATCCATTTGGTTTTCTTTTTCACTCTGTTAATAGTGTAAATTACCATGACCAACCTTCAAATGCAAAGCCAACTTTGGATTCCTGGGATAAACCTCACTTTGTCATATTGTACTATCCTTTCTGTGGTGTTGGATTTAACTTGCTAAAACATGTTTAAAAATTTTTTTTTGTATCTATGTCCACAAGAGATATTAGTCTTTTTCTCTTCTTGTAATGTCTTTGTCAAATTTCAGTGTCAGAATTGTGTTGTCCTTATAGAATGGGCTCGGCTGGTTAATACCTCCTTCCTTCAATTTTCAGTTTATGCAGAATTAAAATATTTCTAGCTTTTAACTATAAATTCAATGCTTTAATAGATATGAAGCTATTCAAGTTATCTATTGTTTTTTCCTTGAGTGACAGAGCCATGGTAGTGTCTTCCAAGGAATCTGTTCCTTTTTTAATTTTTTTTAAAAGATATTTATTTATTTGACAGAGATCACAAGTAGGCAGAGAGGCAGGCAGAGAGAGAGAGAGAGGAGGAAGCAGGCTCCCCGCTGAGCAGAGAGCCCGATGTGGGGCTCGATCCCAGTACCCTGGGATCATGACCTGAGCCGAAGGCAGAGGCTTTAACCCACTGAGCCACCCAGGCGCCCGAATCTGTTCCTTTAGTCTAAGCTGCTGAATTTGTTGGCATAAAATATTCATGTTCTCTGATTATCCTTTTAGCACTGACATCATCACTCTTATTCATGATGTTATTAATTTGTCTTTCTTTTTCTGGTTCAATATGCCAGGGATTTCTGTATTTTACTGGTCTTCTCAAAGAATCAGATTTTGTTGTCACAGATTTTGTTTTTGTTCTCTATTTCATTGGTTTCCACTCTGACACTTATTATTTCCCTTTTTGTACTCACTTTGGGTTTCATCTGCTCTTGTTTTTCTTGTTTCTTAAGATGAATGACTGAAATTACTGGTTTGAAACTATCTTCTAGTATTGTTTTGGCTACATTCCACAAATTTTAAAATGTTGCATGCTTATTTTCATTCAATTCAAAATTTAATTTTCCTTCTGACTTCTCCTTGGGCCCACTGGTAATTTACAAGTGAGTCATTCAGTTTCCAAATATTTAAATTTTCCAGATTCCTTTCACTGATTTTTAACTTAATTGCATTGTGGTCAGAGAACATATTTGTTTCATAGCCCAGAATATGATCCATCTTGGTAAATGTTCTTTACATACTTGAATTTTGCTGGTATTGGGTAAAGTGTTCCATAAATGTCCATTAGGTCAAGCTGGTTGATGGTATCATTCAATTAGATCCTTGGTGAACTTCTCAGTGCTTGTTCTATCATATACTGTAAAAGGGTTATTGAAATCTCCAACTACAATCTACAACACCCATTTATAATTGGGTTTTGATTTTTTAAAAATCTGGTTTTGCTTCATGAATTTTAAAGCTTTATTATTAGGTGCAAAACTAGAATTGTTACAACTTTTGATGAATGTACTGTTTCATCCTTAGGCAATGACCCTCTTAATTTCTGGCAATATTCTTTGCTGTGGAATCTACAGAGGAAGAGGCTTTCAGATGAAGACCATAAATTCAGTTTTAAACATGTATACAAATGAGATGTCTAACAGAGGTCTAAGAGTTTGGAAGAGAAGTGTGGTGTGGAGATTGAGCTAACATGGTCTCTGCCGTGCCAGGATATAAATATTTATGAAATAAAAACGTCTGAGTAAACTCTGGTCTCCAAAGTAATTACACTATTTAAAACTCATTCTACCTGATCTTAGGTCATATGAGGATAAACTCATGGCCTCCAAATTCAAAGGAACCCACAAACTCGACCATGCTTTCTACTGAGTTATGCATTAAGTTTTTTACGTCAGCTATTTTGTATCTTTTCCACACTGCTTAAACCTTAGCTTTCTTACCCCCCTTCTTGTTTTCAGTAGATGTTTTGTTTCACTCATTCATAGTGAAAATAGAAGGTATTAGAGAATTCCTTCCCTTTCGTTCCAATAAACACACAAGGTTACCTGCAGCTGCAACCTATCTTCCCTCCCTCCCTTTGGTATGAAAAGTGTTTGCCTTGCGCCCAAAGTGAATGTTACTCTCACTATGCTCTGAATGTCATTCCCCTCCTATGTTGCGGGGACTTTTAGTCACTGTTCCTCTTTCTGCTGTAACCACAAACTTTCTCTCTGCACAGACTCCCTCCCATCAGCTTCAAGCTGCTCAAAACCTTCCTATCTTGAAGCACCTCAACCCCAGACCACCCTTCTAGCTCCCACAGTTCCTTCTCCATAGCCAAACCTCTCGAGTCACCGCCAACTCTTCATTTCTTTATGCTTCTTCTCCCCTAACCACTCCAATGAGACTAATCTTGAACGGTCACAAGACAATCTCCTTGTTGCTAAACCCAAGGTACATCTTTTCTTTCTTCCTCTACTTCACTCTTACAGAGCTTCTTGCCTCTGGGAGTGGGGAGCATCGCTCCCTGGCTCCAGCCACGATGCTCCCTTGGTTTTCTCCCTGTGTCCCTGGGCCGCTCCTTCTCCACACGTTTGTCTAACACCAGTTAGAATGTTCTAACAGCCTTCTGTCTGTTTCTGTCTTTTCTCTTCAGCTTGAGACAGTCAGCTGCCGTGCACATGCTGAGGACGTCAAAGACCGGTCTGTAGCTTGGCCTCTTTCCTGAGCCCCTATCCTCACCGACCCCAGATGAGGGCACTGCTTGGAGACACCACGACCCGGGGAGCATCCAGCGGCCGCGCTTGCTGGCGCCGGCCGAGTCGGGACACTGCTAAGCACGCTTTCTTGCCCCCGAAAAAGGCAGCGGGGTGGGGGCAGGGGCATTGTGCCTTCTTAACTCCGAGGTACCCGTGAAAGGCCATCCTAAACTAGCACGGTGCGAACGAGGCTACTGTTACCGTTAAGGACAGTAACACACGTTTGTCCAAAAGCTCTTTAATAACGTGAAATTCCAGGCGAACTAGGGCGCTGGTTGGGGCTTTCAGACCCGGTTTCAGTCTGAGGACGAATCCGGGGGATGCCGGCGCGAACCAGGCTGACCGCGTCACTGCGCAGAGGGGGACCCGCGTCTCGCTGAGGCGCACCTGCCGGGCAGCGGGGACGCCCGTGATTCTGGGGCCGATGCGGCCAGTCTGACTTTTCTACACAAGCTGGAAACCTGGGGTTCCTTTAACTTAACTTAAGCTTTTCAGGCCTTTGGTAGGAACCAACTCGCCAGGAGCACAAGCCCTTCCCGCGGCGCGCCCGGCGCTACCGACCTTACTCAACAAGTCGCGGGGATGTCCCTGGCTGGGCGGCCGCACGGCACGCTCCTCCAGAGCGGCTCCCCGCGCCGCTCCCGCAGGTCCGAGCACCCTGACAAGTGGCCTCCGCAGACACGGCCGCGCGGGGAGCGGCTAGACGCTGGGCCTGGAGCCCCACCGCTTGCCCAGACGTCCACGCTCGGACCCGCGGGGCGCCAGCAGCTCGGTGGCCGGAAGCTCGTCACGAGGCCGGCGGCGCCGCGCAGGCGCAATCCGCGACCGGGAGTCCGCGCACGCGCACCCTCCTGGCGCGGCGGAACTGAGGCGCGGCGTTTTCCCAGCTGCGGCGCGCCCCCGCGGCTACGTCACGGCGTCGGGGCGGAAGATGGTGCAGCTCGGGGCCGGCGGTTACTGAGCGAACCCGGACGCGGCTGGACCCTGAGCTCCCCGCTCCGGCGCCCGCTGCGGGGCCGCGGCCATGTCGCTGCTGCAGTCTGCGCTGGATTTCCTGGCAGGCCCGGGCTCTTTGGGCGGCGCTGCCGGCCGCGACCAGACGGACTTCGTGGGGCAGACGGTGGAGCTGGGCGAGCTGCGGCTGCGGGTGCGGCGGGTCCTAGCCGAGGGTGAGGCCCGGCCCGAGGGCGCGGGGGCCATCGCGGAGCGGCCAGCGCGGGGCCGACCGGGAGGGGGCGGGGTCGGACCCGGCCAGGTGCGGGGCGTCCCCGCGGGGCGGGGATGGGGGAGGGTCGCCGCGGCGGGCGCAGGTGAGGCCGACCCGGCGTGACTGCCGTGGGTGAGTGAGGCGGGGTGCGGGGCTGGGCACTTCCTTGCGGGAGGTGTGGTAGTCGTGGCAGGTGCGGGGCCGACCTGCGGCCGGAGGAGAGGCAGTGGCGGTGGGGGGGAGGAGGTGGTGGGCAGGTGAGAGGCCATGGCGGGGCTGGAAGGAGGGGGACCCATAAGGCTGAGCAGTTCGCTGGGCGGGGGTGAGTCATGGCCCTTGTGGGGCTGGCGGGACAGCAGTGCGTCTCCGGACATCGCGCTGACTGTCCTCAGTTCTCAGGGTCCGGAGCGCGGGTGCGTGCGCCCCTTGGGGGGGGGTGGTTGTCCTTGGACGTTGGGGTAGACCGTTCTGTGACCTATAGCCCAGCTTCCTCCCGTCGCCACCTGTTTCCCTTGCCCTGGTCTTTGTGACTTAGGTTAGGGCATGCCAACAGTCGTGACCTGTGCACAGCCTTGCAGGTTGGACTCGCCAGTCATGGAGGAATTTCCTGGTCATTTTTAGTCATCTTTGTTTCTGCGTGCTGTCTCCAGCTTCCTGATGTCCTTTCTCTTCCTCACAGAATCTATTGCCATCGTCGGTGTGATCCATTCTCTCCTCTGGATTTTCCTTACATTTTGTCGGTGGCGCCCACAGGGGTATGTCACATTTTGCTAGCTTGATGCTTACTGGCTGAACACAGTTGGCTCTGAGGCTGGTGCTGGAGCAGAACGGTATTTCCCTGAGTTAGCATCGGGCGCCGGAGTGGTGCAAGGTGGGACCACAGACCTGTCTGGGGTAGCTCTCAGGACTGCAGGCATAGGCTGTCATGATCCCCAACCTACTGCCATGTCTGCTCAGTCTGAGGCAGGAAACTAGCGGACCCTTCTGATGTCCTAATTCCTAAAGGCCTGAAGGAATGTTCTAGCTGCAGCATTACCATATGCTTTTTCTCCACTTGGGTAAAAAACGAACAGATTTTGGATGTGATTTGGTAGGAAAACCTCAGGCTTTTCTTACGGAGGTGGGGGCCAGAATCTCTGCTAACATTAACGAGTGTGGTATCTGTTACAATGAGAGTTCCTTCGGATCAGTTCCTTTATTCTGAAAATACCAGGCAACTATCTTGGTTTTTTAAGAGATTCATAGGGGACAGTAGGTGATTTTTGCCTTCCGGAATTTAAAATTAGACACACTCCAATGACAGAAGGACAGTGCAGTACTGGGGGGATCCTTGGGGCAGGACAGGCAGTGGCCAGGGTTCCAGCAGGCCAAAATGAGGTCAGAGCATTCAGAATGCTCCTATCAGGGCAGGGGTGGGGCCAGGCTGGAGGACGGGAATTAAAGGTGGGAGGTGGGTCCTGTGGAGCAGGAAGCTTACCAGTCACTTAAAACCCAGGATGAAGAATGAGGAAACGGGACTAGCTGATAGGGTTGTGCAATAGAACCCACTCCCTTTGCTATCTAGGCATGTCAGAAGATAAAAATACCCAGCACGGTCTTGGTCTTTAGAAACATAACAGGAACCTCATAGCTTTAAAGCTTGTGAACCCTCTTTCTGAACTGAAATGGTTAGAAAGCCATATGAAGTGTCAGGAAAAACAGCAGCTCTGGAACCTAGGCTGGGGGAATTCATGTTGTGTTGTATAAATGTGGGGAAGGTTCCAAACCCTAAACTCGGGTGGAGAGAGATGTTGACAACTTCATAGTTTTCCAGGTTTTGGAAAGATAATAGGCATCCTGTATATCCTATGATATTCCTACAAGAGTTGGGAAAGTCTTTAATAATCTAATAAATCATATATCCATAATTAAATGAGTATCCTCACTGTGGGATAATTAAGACTTTAAATAGCCCCACCTTATTTCATGTCGGGTGTTGCCCCAGATGAATTGAGGATGGATCAGATTTTGCTGTGAGAGGGCTTAGGAAAAAACACGTTGTTTTCATAGCTTTTTGGAATTTGCATTTGTACCATGAAGTGGTTTGTGGGGCAGAACTGTGGAGCCAGATAGCTTCCTAATCTTTTGAAAATTGGTTTAAGTGTTCGTTTTTTAAAAAAGTCAGGTTACTGGGAGTAACCCCAATGTCAGAGGGGCTGAGTCCAAGCAGATTCCAGAATACATTCTTTAAGTTCTCTTGTTTTGGATTTTGCACATTCTTGCTTGTTTCCTACTGTCCAGAAAGGTGACAGAGGTGATCGCTCTGCCAAGATGGGTTTTTCCCTGCGAGGTGAGTCCACCTCTCCAGTGACTGTATGACTTTGGCTGCACTGCTAACGATGTGGACGAGGTGGTATGGGGGCAGCTCTTCAGAAAAAGAAGTCCACAGAGCTGTCCCGTAACGTGTGTGTAACTAGTTGTGTGTGTTTGTGGGGACACCATGTGCCATGTGTGTTATCAATGGCCTTGGATGAATGTGGGTTCCTTGTGTTCTGTCTGGGGCCTGTACTGGCCTGAGAAGCTGTGAGGGCATGCACCACACTAACTCTGGGCTGGCTGTTGTCCTAACCCTCCACCCCTCTGCCTCCTGGTCCCTGCTTTTAGAGGGCTTCTGCCTTGTCTGTGTTAAGTGTCGGGATTGGGGAGGGCACAGGGGTTATTTGGTACTGGCTGGCAGTTGCTAGGTTGTGCGATAGGACTCTTGGCTAGAGGTTTCAGAAACCACTGGGGTTGGTGTGACGGAAGGAGAGGGTTGGAGGTTGAGTCAGGACATCCTCTGTGGGGATACACAGCGTAGCATGTTTAAAGCTGATTTGAAAAGATGGGGCGATCATCGCTCACTGACATTCTAGCACACGGCTCTTCCAACTCAGGAAACATGCCTGAACCCTGAGGCCTGTGGGTGATCTTGTTCAAGTGTCTTTTCCCTCAACTGCCGTGGCTGCTTCACCCAGGGAGGGGTGCTGAGTGGATCTTTTCTGCGGATACCCTAGAGCACAGATAACCAAGGTCTTTGCAGGAAGCACCTGCGCCTTGGGCAACTGGTTCTAGTATTCATACTGGTATGGTTCAATCTTGTGTCAGGTTAATTGCTCTCTCAATTCTCCTAACCCCATTCTCTTCACTTGCACCTTGGCGACAGTACCATCAGCCCCTTAACTTGTCGTAACTAACACCTAGTGTGGAACAGTCATGGTCACCAGCACAACATTTATGGAGTTGTCTGGCGGGCGGAGTCCCTGGTGCTTCCTGTGGTCTGTCGTCCGTAAGGACCATCAGCAGCTTGCCAGGGCCACCAGCCAGCGAGCAAGGGAGTTGGGACTGGGTGCGTCTTCGGTCACCCATATGGTGGCACAGGTCCGCCTGTGGAGTGTGTCCTGCAGGGAGAAGTGTCCAGAGGATGTCACAGTGGAAGAAGCAGGTGGCAGGGCACCTGTTGGGGAGCCACCGGAGGTGGGCGTTGCTGGGGGGCAAGATGGGAGCTGCGTGCCAGGGTTCCCGCGCCTTTTTGGTCTGTGCCTCAGGTGACTGCAGGTGCAGGTGGTATGCAGGTGCCTGGAGTGGGACATCATGGCGAGGTCACCATAGTGGGGAGATTATTGTGGGAGGAAGTCACCCTGTGGGGAGGTCACTGTTGTGGGGCAGGGGAAAGGCTGCCCTCTGTCTTTCCATTGGCCCGGTCTGTTCCTCTCTGTGACCTCCTGCTGTTGCAAGGGCACATATCCCTGAAAGGTCCGTGGAGATCACGTGAGGATAGGAGGTGGAGGTAACGGGGTGCCTGTTCCTAAGAAACACTGTCGATTGATAACATAAAGTAAGATCTCCCGGATTGCTCCTTGTGCTGCTGAGCCACGTTTCTTGGTGCTCACTGTCCCCTGCCCCACCCCCGCCCTGAGTCGGTGACCTTGTGTAGAGCCCTACCAAACCCCACTGTCCCCACACCTTCCTCGCTGCAATGGGCAAACACTCTGTGGGCTTGTGTTGATTTGTGTTTCTCTGACTCATGAATTTGAGCATTTTCCGTGCTTATTAGCTTATTCAGACCACTGTTTAGAATCATGCATGGATGTCCTATGCCTGTTTTTCTTTTAAGTAAAAACAATTTAAAGTGAGTTATTGGCATACAGTAAAATGTACAGAGTTTAGATGCTCTGATAAGGGTTTACGCCATGTAGCCAACCAGTTGTCAAGCTAGAAAACTGTTGAGTGACCCCACAAACCCTCCCATGGCTCCCAGCCCCCTTCCCCACCACCAGCCGCCCCAGCTAGGAGTTTCCTTCTCCCAGAGTATCCTGCACACAGCCCTGCACCCCAAGTTCTCTGTCCAGTTCTGAAGTTTGTTCCCTCCCTTGTAGTGGCTTGTCTGTCTACTTGCTTGTTGGTGGACACTTGGGTATTTCCAGTTTGGACCATGATGAGTAAAGCTGCCAAGAACATTCTTCCACAGTATTTTTTGTTGCCATGTGTTTTGTCTCAGGTAAAATACCCAGGAGTGGTATTTTGGGGTCTGGGTTGGACACAGGTCTCTTTG